ATGCCGAGATAGTGGGACAGATGGAGTGTCCCACAGGAGCGCGGGGGGCTCCCCAGTGTGCATGGCAGCAGACCCAAAGTGGACCAGAAGCACTTCCAGTCCGTTTCCGGGTCTGCCAGGAAGCATGCAGGGGGCAGCCCCCCGCGCCCCTTGGCTTGGCGACTAGTGCCTCCTGGGTCTGGTGGGGCACCCCCAGTCTCCCCGCGGCTGATTGCTGAGCCAAGGGAGGCATGGGGGGGATCCTTGTGCATCTCAGCAGTGGACCTGGAAATGGACCAGAAATACTGCTGGTCTACTTCTTGGTTCATCGCTGAGCATGCAGGCCCCCCTCCCCCCCGTGGGATGCTCCATCTGCCCCAGCATCGCAGCATTCACAAGCCGTGCCTGCTACCTCAAGGCATGTGGAAAAAATATTTAAAGCTGTGTCTATGGCCAAATCGCCGATTCTCTGAATCAGCATCGAATCTTCAGATTTGGATTCAGCTGAAACGAATTGGGGACAGTGATCTGAATAAATGAATCAAATTGCTGTCCCCAATTTGGGCTGAATCCCAATCGAATACAGCCCGTTTCACACACCCCTACTATGCAACATTTTGAGAGTAATACTGTCATCCTGAAGTTTCAGTGCAGAAGTTGCAAATACACCAGTTTTTTTCCCTTCCATCCTTTTTACATCAGAATAATTTTACTGACTTGAGTGGAGTTACCTTAATTTTTAATGGGGCAAATGAGTAAAAGAAGTAGACCCTCTGGGTTTTTCTTTTGAGAAAGTTACTTTTAACTGGTGCAGGACCGAAAAAATAAAAAACAAACTGTGAAGAATATACATCTGTAACACTCATTTATAGGTTGCAATTACCTGGATAATACCTGGCGAGGCCAGTTGCACTGCCAAAAACTTGCCATAATAAAGTTGGGTCTTCTTCTCTATTCTCTTTGAAGGTATCATCCAATGCAGCAGTCCAATTGAGTTCATTTAACACTATTGTAGCTGCAAAACATGAAAAAGATTTGGTATTACAATGCTATAGTTTTCCATAATTAATAACTATTGTGAGTGACAGAATAAGCTTTTATTGCAAGTTAGAGCACTTCATGTTAAAGACCAACAGTGGAAGTTTTTGGAAATTTGTCCCTATGCTTTGTAAGATTATCATACTATCATCTACTGCTTGCTAGTATTCTTCTTCCTTTATATCTATAAAATATGCCATTTCCGATGGGTATTTTATTACCAATTCCATGTTATAGACAGGAAATCAGCATGTAAGCACATGACTTTCTGATCATAGTACACAGTGATAAAGAATACAGCGATACCAACGAAAGATATGCAAGTCGCTGGAAAAAGCTAACCGAGATCTCCCTTGAAAGCGACATGCTTTAAGAGGGATTCCATGGGAAAGGGAAAAAACAAGGAATTAAAAAGCATTAGACTTGTAAAACTGAGCTGGGAGCAGCATGCAAGATGGTGCTCATTATTGCAAGTTAACAAGATTTTCATGTTTATGGATGTGATCGCTTGCAGAAAGATCAGTTGTGTGGACATTAATATTCATGAGCTGGGTCAGTTCCACAGTGAACTTGAGATACAAGGAAATTCATATTCTTGAGCATGATCAGCTAGGCACTAAGTGGCCAGTTACATGGAAATTCATATTCACAAAGTTGTTCTGGACTGATGCTTGTGTTACTCATGCAAATATTTATATTAGCATGCTCAGTGCCTTAGTGGGAAAGAGATGGTAGGAAATTTACTCAACAACTTATAAACAATGCTACAGTACTAATCAACAGAACAAATAATGAAGTTTAATTATGAGACGGATAAATAACTATGGCTTTTGCCATGATTTAATCAGTTGTAAATATCTCATTAATTTCCAAAAATATCTCATTTATGTTAGGCAACAGCTGGCATTCAGCTAATTAGAATAGAGCAAAGTTTTATTTGTTGGTTGGGTCACTAATTCTTTCCTTTGTCTTGCCTGATGGCATTATAAGGAGCGTTTCCAAGGATGACATACATGGACTGATGGTCGCATACTCATAATCGTGAAGAGCAAAATGCAAAGCAAAGGTGAAGATATCAGAAACACCTAAACACATGTATATAAAGTTTCTGTAGTAAATGATACTCTAATTGAAATTCCCCTCTAATTGAAAATATGGCACCTAAATAAGAATGAACTATTTTCTGGTTCTCTGCAGCAGCTCACAGAAAACTCAAGCTGAGATGAACAAGTCAGCTCCGTGCTCAGACAAGACAGTGGCATTATGCTAAAGAACTCTGTGGGCAAATATCAATTCTAATCCATTATTGCAGTGGGGAATAAAACAATAGAAGTCTGGTGCATAACTACAATATACATATCTGAAAAGTCTGCTTCTAAAAAATAGGTTGTTTTACTTAATTAGATAGACAAGAGACCAACATTAAATTGTATAAGCTTGTTTTTAAGGGTTAAAGAGACATTTGGTGTGCTACATATTCTGGGGAATGATTTATCTGATTATTCAAAGTAGTTTTAAAATCATGTGATACTGTTTCAAAACCTAGCCTTCTGGAAAAAATATAAAATTAAATCTCCAATTCTTCAGATTCCTAGTAAGCAATAACTTGTAAGATATACAGACACTGTGTCAAATATTTAATTAAAAATATATACCAGTATGTTTATATGAGGAACAATTCCCTTAGACATAGTAAGTACTTAAAAATTGTGAATTAAAAATATTTACTGTTGACTACATCCTTTAGCACCAGTCAGATCCATTGTGCAATTAGGCAGTATACATTCTTTGTATACTCTTTGTAAATTGTTTCTAATTTGAGTAGATGTTACTTTCCTTCCATGACAGGTTCATCCTGTAAGAAATACAGTCAGCAGGAGTTTTGCCATTGACTTGACCAGTGTCAGGATTCAATTAAATCCTGCTTTAAAAAAAATAAAAATAAAAACAGAACCTCAAACTAATATCACTGTTCTCCTTCATGATTTACAGAAAGCTCAGTGTAATATAATTCTTTGCACAGAAGTCCTCACCCATACACTGCTGTAAAGCAGAGAGACTAGGACAAATAGGGTTTTTAAACAACATGGAAGATAGGAAGGCCTTTAGATTAGGAAACTGAACCAGGACTCAGAACTCTATCAACAACTCTTTCAAATAACTGTAGAAAAGTCACTTGTACTACAATTCAGAGAAACATTTCAGCACCAATGCAGTCAACAACATTGAAGCACATGCTTAAGTGCTGCATAAAATAAGGACTGTCTTTAGAATATGTTCATCTCAAAATCTGCGCTTACTTTACCAATTTACTAATCCATTTGACTCAGTTTTCTCATGCATAAAATAGGCATAGCAATACAAATATATAAGAAAATATTCAAATGGCATAGTGAGGTATTGCATAGAAAAGGCAAAATAATAATAATAATAATAAATAATAAATAAATAAATAACACAAATGTTGAAATACCTAGATACTAAAGTGATAAGGGCTTTGATATAATTAGGTAAATTAATAGATCAGAAAACATGAAGTATGATTCTCTCTTGGTTTTTCCCAAAACTCTTGGTTTTTCCCTTTTGGTTTTTCCAGTCATATTAGATGCCATGGTTTTTCTGCTATAAGCAAAGAAAAGTGGTATGCAGTTCTCTTTAAGCCCTTCCTTTGTTTTTAGATCAATCTTTTTTCTGCCCAAGAGGATTTTAGGACATATGCTGCAGTTTGCTAAGAAAAAGTACTTCTCCCTTGCTTACACATTTTAAAACTATATTTTAGAAAAAAAATAAAAAAAGTGCTACAGCTCAGGAAAAAAAAAATGTTTCTGTCAAATCCAAATGCAGGAAACAAACGATAACAAGTGGAGTTCAACGGAAGCAGCAAATGCAGGCCACTAAGATGTCAACAATATTATAAAAAAAAAAAAAGCTGTGCTGTGCACCATCTCTGCTGTCACATTTAAAATAGCACACCTTGCAGCACTCCAGAAATTAATAAAGTGAATGCTGCAGCTTTAAATTGCCAAAATAGCTCACGCAATTGAAAGTTTCAACTTTCATCAGCCTGCTCTTAATTCACTCTCACCGTGACCACGACAACTTGTCATGTGCTTGCAAGCAAACGTGCAGTGTGTGATAGGGGAAAACGTATTCAGATTCAAGAGCATGAAGTCATTAAAACAATCATTCCTGGTGGAGGTTTGGTGTTTGCAATAGAAGCTGGTTGTAAAAAAAACAAACCAAACCAAACAAAAAAACCCACAAGCAGGATATCCAATCTAACCAAATCAAAAGATCAGCAATAGAAAAATTACTGGGAAGGAAGACTAGCTTTAACCTTGGTGCTTTTCAAACTTGTGTTCATCCATGAAGCTTGATGCTGCTTTGCACTTATGGATGAATGTACCCTCGCTTTCAACAGGCAAGAGTGCTAAAATTGCTGCTGATGAGATTTACCACTTTTTTGCTTCTAGTGTTAATTAGCAATTTCAAACCAACACCTCTGATGAGTACCTGATTCCAGTTAAATGCTAGCAGCAACATATTTGAAACTTTTCCAGGATAAGAAAAATGATCTAAGAAAACAAAAAGTATGTGGCCACTTAGTAAGATCTATTTGTAAAGCTTGCATTACTGTGGGTTTCGTGTATATAAAGTGGATCCCACAGCAAGTAAGAATTTTATTTATTTTTTTGTTATTCTGAAATTTAAAAAAAATGGAGCTTTCTAAAACAGATATGTTATTAGTTATCATGGAGAGGCCTATGAAGAAATTACATCTAAGAATGATCTATTTTGCTTTTTGATTTACAGTTTTGTATGGGGAAAAGGATTTTGACTGACAGTTGGCAGAATATCAAGTGTTAGACCGCTGATTATTAACCTTACTTCCACGAACTCTAAAATAGGTTCTGGTCTCTGAAGCTTGCTTCTCCTTTTATTGCTACTTCTCACTTGGCATGGGCAGGAAGAAAAAAACTAAATTAATTAACACACAATAGGCAACTTCATTCTTGCCTGCTAATTCCACTGAACTACATCCATCTTTTCCTTTTTTCTCTCTTGTTTATGACATGGGATTCAGGGGCCTTGACAAGTCATGGATTCAATTTGCCTCTGCAAACGCAATCAATAAAACATTGCACTACTGCGACCTTAAAAAGAGCTGGAAGAATACACTTTTGATGATTTATTCAATGTATAGGCTCTGGCCTGCATAGTAGGCAATGTATAACTTAATTTGAAAAGCCTAGAAGCTATTTACTATGCCTGAAAATATGTCAGCTACAGTTCCCTAATGAAGCAACTATGCATACACTGGAGAGAACAGAAGGTACCATCTCTGCAGTTCATTTATAATATAAAAGAAATTGTCTTTTAGTGTGGTTGGGGGGTATTAAGTTCCACCAATGAATGTAACTCATTGCTTTTTTAAGATTATATAGATACAATTATTATTATGAAGGTGATATACATTTCTAGTCAAATGTTAGGACATGTAAATGGGCACTCAGGGAGCATACAGTCGCATACACATCTGTCCATATGCAACAGTATGCATGACCTGGAGCATGCACACACACACACACACACACACGTGTGCACATCTGTCAGCAACAATGGCACGCATCCACACATTCTGAAAATTCTACTCAAGATGTATCCTCATTTTTTTGCACCTGATATGTTGTATTATATTTTCAAAGCTTATATGCTTTCTCATTCACATTAAAGGAAATTAAATACAGAGCTAAACATTCCCAACAATCACTGAAAGCCTTTATCACCATCACATTTTATGCTGAGCTGACAACGAATAAGTAGCTTTCTGTGCATCTCTGAACAGACCCAACAATGGAAAGGATTCTTATCAAGTGTGTAAGGCAGCTGTACATCTGGAGCTGCTTCCCAAGTACAGTAATCCTGAAGGGACCACTTAGTCTACCTAAATTTAACACCTGTATAAACCCTAAGGTT